GTATCGGTTGTGCCCTCTAAATCCACCACTGGTTTTATTAGTCGACAAAGTTGAGTTTTGGGCCCCGTCTTATAAAGAGTCGATATCAATCGCAACTACGTAGATAGGAGACTGCAAACTTGCGATTGATTGGCCGGACTTACGATTGATTTGGATGAGTCGTAGCTCTTTATAAGACGGGGCCCTGCAATGAAAAAGAAAGAAAATATATAGATTAACACTTCTGTTTATTTCTTTGTCTCTCTAAACGACGGAAAGACTGATTGTGCCCGGGGATCGTGCAACACCATGCATAGCTTCTTAAAATTGCCGGTCTGGATTAACTCCATGACAATCTTTTAACACCAGTATAGACAGGCGCGCCGGAAGCAGTTTGGGATTGGGGGGGGCAAACATTCCAGGGGGCTCACCTTCCGAGGGCAGTGACGTAATGAGAAAAAACGTTCGGAAGGGGGGGGGGGGCAGACGAAAAATCTGCATCACCACCAGTCTTACACGTTACATGCAGGTCCCGCGGAACGTTTTTCAAAGTGAAGTATTAACGATCAGGTAGAGCGTAAATTGGCGTGGGGTCCAGCCTCGGCAGGGTGTCAAGGGGCTGAGCCCCCGGAAGCTCAGGGATTTTAGGTATTTAATTACGGTTAGATGAGCATCCAGGGGCCTCTTTAAGGCCATTGACGTGTTCCAGAGGGGGGGGGGGGGGGCCCCAGAAGCTCAGAGGTTTTAATATTTAACTACGGTCAGATGAGCAACCAGGGGCCGCCCTAGGGCACTTGGTGGGGTCCAGGGGGCAGGGCCCCCGGAAGCTCAGGGGTTTTAGGTATTGAATAATGGTCAGATGAGCATCCAGGGGCCCGCCTTATAGGGCCCTTGGTGGGGTCCAGGGGGCAGAGCCCCCGGAAGCTCAGGGGTTTTAGGTATTTAATAATGGTCAGATGAGCATCCAGGGGCCCGCCTTATAGGGCCCTTGGTGGGGTCCAGGGGGCAGAGCCCCCGGAAGCTCAGGGGTTTTAGGTATTTAACTACGGTCAGATGAGCAACCAGGGGCCGCCCTAGGGCACTTGGTGGGGTCCAGGGGGCAGGGCCCCCGGAAGCTCAGGGGTTTTAGGTATTGAATAATGGTCAGATGAGCATCCAGGGGCCCGCCTTATAGGGCCCTTGGTGGGGTCCAGGGGGCAGAGCCCCCGGAAGCTCAGGGGTTTTAGGTATTTAATAATGGTCAGATGAGCATCCAGGGGCCCGCCTTATAGGGCCCTTGGTGGGGTCCAGGGGGCAGAGCCCCCGGAAGCTCAGGGGTTTTAGGTATTTAATTACGGTCAGATGAGCATCCAGGGGCCCGCCTTAGAGCCCTTGGTGGGGTCCAGGGGGCAGAGCCCCCGGAAGCTCAGGGGTTTTAGGTATTTAATTACGGTCAGATGAGCATCCAGGGGCCCGCCTTAGGGCCCTTGGTGGGGTCCGGGGCGGAGCACCCGTAAGCTCTGGGGTTTTAGGCATTTAATTACGGTCAGATGAGCATTTTTTATGCCTTATTTGTGACATTGGCAGGTCACTTATTTTTTCTCTCCGTCTTTCTTTCTTTTTCTCTTTAACATACTTTTTCAAAAAGTGAGGGGGGAGGGGCTCGAGCCCAGCCACTTTGCAGACCATGTCATAAAGGCTTCTAAATAAGCGTATTTTTCGCCCGACTGTAATTTGGGAATTTCTTATTTTCCAACAAACGCATAAAAAGGTATGACTTTAAAAAAAATGGAGAAAAAATACCGGAAAAGCATGTCATAACAGCAACATGTGTAAATCACTGGTATCGTATAGATATACCCCCCCCCCCATCAGTACGCCAGCGTTCAGGGGCTCATGTCTTCTCACCCCTATAACAAAACCAAAAAAACAGACACGTTTTCCCATTCTCGCACAATATGTCCACGATATGCGCGTATCGCTATTATAAACCGTATAGGTAGCATGCGCAATGTTTATAAAAATTTAATTCCTGTGAACTTTCCTTTTCTTTGAATGGAATGGTATATGTGCTTTAATTTAGGTTTTTATTATTGTTATGTTCTTTTGGGTTAAAAATACAAACCATGTTTATTCCTTTACTGCTTTTTTTTTTTTTTTTGGAGGGGGGGGGGGGGGGCAACTGCCCCCCCTGCCCCCTCACTTCCGGCGCCTATGAGTATAGATTAATCTTGCGCTGGAAAAAGTTAAATAGTCTTGAAGCCTTGGGTATATCTATCCCATGATAGCTTCAATATGACACAGCTAGGGTGGTTATTTGCATGGCATATCCAGAGTTAATACGTTTATTATGTTCAGAAGAATCGATTTTGATACTGTGACATACTGTGGCATATTTTAATCATCACATAGATTTAAATAATAACCCTCTTGCTTAATATCACATGCGCTGGATACAGAAGCGGGACCACATGTGGGTGACGTGGCATGAGGTTTCATCCAAACATTTCAGCGTTTTTCTCATCATATTTCGAACGTGTGGGCCTTTGAAGACCAATCCTTTACAGGGGACATTTCTACTATTAAATATTTCCGAATCGACCTAAAAGGAATGAGAAATCACGCACACTATTTTCCAAACTTTACCATGCAGAACTCAACCTTAACCATATATAAAGAGAAAAGAAAATAAATAAATATTTATTTATCAATTCATTTAAAAATACTCATACAGCCATAGCTGTTTTTCCCATTGGTCCTGTATATACACGGTAACATAAAATTTAAAACACCTCCCTGATCATACCCTGTCCCCACATGACATGTGTCCAGTCGATTAGCAGTTACAACATGTGTAACCAACACTGCCATACAAATACCCTAACCACATTCATCATCGTCTCAAATATAAATCAGCACTGCTGCTACATGGAGCAATCTTTGAATATATGATGTCATCATGATTATTAGATATGATGTCACAATTACCTACATCGCCACCTCCACCATCATTGGTATCATGGTTGTTAACGTTTACTTTGGGGGTAGAGAATTGAAGAGGGACACAGAGAGAGAGAGAGAGAGGTGGAGAGAGAGAAATGGAGAGGAGAGAGAGAATGGAGAGAGAGAAGAGAGAGAGAGAGAGAGAGGGAGAGAGAGAGGAAAAGAGGAGAGAGAGGGAGAGAAAGAGAAAGGGAGAGAGAGAGAGAGGGGGGGGGGGGGGGAAAGAGAACGAAAGATGAGAGAGAGAGAGAGAGAGAGAGAGAGAGAGAGAGATTCGGGTGTGACTGGATAATGAATCAGAGACACATAGAACAGTATATTGGAGGGAAAAAATAGTTATGAATTATGGCTTCAACTGCAAAACAAATGTTTGTGAGTAATGAGTTCAAAAAAAGAAGCTGTATAGTGATACTTCTTTAAAGCTAATACTGGGATAGATATAAGACGTGTAATTTATTTTTTGTATTATAAATCGGTTCTATTAATTATTAGCTCAACGTGTCAATTTTTTCTGCCCCTCATGAGTGAAACTGAAGTTATGAATTAGCATGGTTACGAGTTGTATAATGATGCTTATTATAGTGCATTGAAGGAGTAGAAGTCCATTTCTTTGGTAAAACCGATATCTCATGTGTTGAAAAGGACTCTCTTTTTTTCTTTTTTTTTCCTTCTTTTCTTGGTGTAAATAGTAAGATGACTATGTCAACATTATTACTAATTTATGGGCTCACATCCGTTCTTAACAATAACAGTGATTGATGATTGATATCAAATGAAGCATTTATGTTTTACATTCATCATTAAATTGTGCGGAGCTAGCATTGGAATACCATATTTACATCCAACGCAAGGGAATTTACAATGAGAATTTATCAAGGAATCATTGACGACTCATGAACTGAAATGTGATTCAAACAGTTGGATATGATATGGAGCATATTACATTAACAGCACTGTAGGCTTAATCAGATATTGCGCATTTTGTTTACGTGTAAATTATGGCAACTGCGTGTTGAAAAGGACTCTTGATTTAGATCTTAATCAAATGGATAATTTTGTCATAGACATTATAGACAGTTACCAAGAAGAGCACTACACCCAATCTACAACCAATCAATACACATGAAAATAAAAGTTCCACTCTGTTTTTTTTAAATCACTCAACTATCAGACACAATGAGCAACATCTGGAGAAATAACTTAACGACCACCGCCAAAATTAGCATGTCCAGGGCTGGGATAAAACGGTCGCCTGAAAAAGGTGAAAGAGGTTTATGCCGCCCCCATTTGTTTATGCTACCTTCAAAACCTCTACAGCTTGTTATCACCTGCACCACCACTTTTATTGCCACCACCACCACCACCACCACCACTACTACTACCACAACCTTACCACCATTACTACCACCTTCTCACCACCACCACCACCACCACCACCACCACCACCACCACCACCATCACCACCACCATCACCACTATGACCACAACCTCCCAACCGCCACCCACTATGACCACAACCACCCAACAACTACCACCAATCCCATTACCACTCCAGGATAATAACTACAATCACAAGTTCATTGAATACATGATAGCTTCCTCTGGTGACAATCCCCACCACCACCAACAACTATCATCACCTCTACCACCACCAACAACACCAAGATCATCACTACCATCAAAATTTGTATCGATCCCCACCACCAATATTACTACACCACCACGAAGGTACAGCACCCCTACCACCACCTCATACCACCTCCACCACCACCATGCACCACCACCACCACCACCTCAACCATCACCATCACATTATTACCAGTACCACCACCACATTAATACCAGTACCACCACCATCACAGACTCCCAGACTACCTTTCATGAGGCATTATCGAAATTCTTGTAACCTTGACAATGGTGATGCCTGCAGCATCCAATCGTTTAAATAGGGTTCCGTGCCTAGACTATTGCTGGCGGAGAGAGCTAGCAAATGCATTCTCAATCAGAGCTAGTATACACACACTCCGCCGCTACTTTCCCACGCTTACACACACACTCACATACAATGCTGCTCCAAAATAATGCAGGTACTTTACGCCTAGAGAGCAAGAGCTAGAGCTACGAAGCCGTCGCCGTTTGTACGGCGTACTTGATCGACCGTACTACTACGGAAAGTCCTTCAGTGTGTTACTACTGAATCTACGACAGACGGGTAGAACGTAACTGTGTGAATTTGTCTGTTTTTACCTCAAATCACGTTGTACAAATGTCTCAGACCAAAATAAGCTCTCATGCAACAAGGTAGGACGCTTCATAGGAATTGTCGTGGAACATTACAGAGCTGGAAAGCTCTTTTTAGTAGCTGACGAGGGAAGCAAGTAGAGCCGCCATGGCCTTGTCGCCGGGTGAGCGGGAGAAGCCGGGTAGCTTGCCTGGATCTCCGGTGGAACACCAGCCGTCGAGAGCCGAATACGAGAGGATGGAGGGTTGGTTGGATGCCCACTCAGCCTTCGCCCATGACTATTTCGCCAGGAAGGCTACTCGATCCATGATTGATGGATGGTACATCCACCGTGCCGTCTCGCAAAGCACCAAACCTCCGGTTGCAGAGTCGCCACACTCGCCCAACAGCTCTTCTGGAAGTAATACCCCGGTGCGTAAGGTTTCGGCTTCCGAGTTTGAGGTCCACGGGACAGGTGGATCTCTTGGACGAATGGTGCAGACAGTCGATGGTTCCCCAAGCTTTCTGGGAACCCCTAGTTACTTGCTGAACCAAGGGAAGTCTTCACCCACCCGGAGCAGGAAATCGTTAAACGAACTCAAGGCTTTGGACGATCGGGCGGTGCTAATCGAACTTGTCAAGGATATCGCCAATGAGCTTGAACTGAGCATGCTCTGTCACAAAATCTTGCAGAACGTGTTGATACTGACCAAGGCTGATCGGGGATCGCTCTTCTTGGTTCGTGGCAAGGGTACAGAGCAGTGTTGCTTAGCAACCAAGCTGTTTGATGTGACCATTCAGTCTACTGTGGAGCAGACACGAGAGGAGATATGTGTTCCTTGGAGGAAAGGAATTGTGGGATATGTAGCCGAGACTGGAGAGACGGTCAATATTGCCAATGCATATGAGGTAAGTTCAAGTCATCTCAATAAGACATGCAAGTATGCAACCATATTCAAAATGCTCAAAAAACTATTATCTGATTTGGCACCCCTTTTATGATACAATAAAAAGATATAGCACTGCCCTACTTGTTACCTCTGTTTAGACTGAACTTGACCTTCCTTATCAATGCCAAAGGCAATAAACCTAAAAATGTAGTTCCCAGTACTGTTCTGTTCCCAGGCAGAGCTTACACATGTTTTTTCTTCTTATTAATGACCCCCTCGCCACCCCCACCCCCCCCCTCCCCCTCCCCCTCCCCCTCCATACGTCTATACTGGTCATGACCTCCAGATAAAGATCCAGTGGTCAAATTAATAAATACAAAGGAAAAGAAAATGACAGTTTTATCATCCCCTTTTTTATGCCCTGTACTGTACATGTACATATATGCATTTTACATATATCCTTGAAAGAATATGATGTACTGTATATAGTTCTACATTAAAAAGAATGTACATGCCCAATGAGGTGAGAGATAAACACATAAGTGAATTAAACTTCCAACTTGTCTCATCCTCATGTAATTCAAATGGTTGTGTCCCTTGTCTCTCAGCGATTACCTGCATGAAGGACTTGTTCATTTCATCGGGAAATGGAGATGAAATATGCCAAATATTATCATGACTTATAACAGTAACGTGCAGAATGATGGTCCAAACTCCAAAGAGGTCCCAAGAGATTGGAGTATCCACTCTAGGGTGAAGCCGGATTATGTCCCTTTCCCCTCCCCTTTAAAGGCCTACATGTAGATGTTGTTGTTGTTGTTGTTAGTAATAGCTTAATGGCGTTCATTCAGTATTGAATATATATGCCAAAGCTTCAGTTTTATAAGAAAATCAGTTATCCATAAAGAAACCTGAGAATAAACATTTGTAATGATATAATTAATTAATCAGTAATGCAATTTATTAGGAGACTCTGGATGGTTTACAACTTTGTGTTTCTGCTTTTTTTATATGTTTAAAAAAGGCCTAGAGACCAAGAGAAAAAGAGAGAGAGAGAGTTAGAGAGAGAGAGAGAGAGAGAGGGGAGAGAAAGAGAGAGAGAGAGAATGAAAGAGAAAGAAAGAAAAAGAGAGAGAAAGAGATGCATGTAGATAGAGATAGATAGAGATAGATAGGTAGAGAGAAAGAGTGGGAAGGTGAGAGAGAGGGAAAGAGAGGAGATGGATAGAGAGAGAGAGAGAGAGAGAGAGAGAGAGAGAGAGAGAGAGAAGCAAAAAAAACACTTGCTTAACCATTGTCAGGCCAGCCACACCCATCTCCCTCAATGTATGTATCTGAGAAAGATTCCAATACATCCCTCATTTTTCATTTCTGGATACACCACTGTTAACCCAATGATAAAGTTTCTGGAACATATGCTCACAGACCTCTGAAGAACTGCTTGTATAAAGCCAAACCCTGAAAACAAAATGCTGAACAATACTTTTTCATATGACATTCAGATAAGTGCAGAAAAATATAAACATTACTATCTGTATAATTAGTTCAATTTATGTGAGGTTGGTTTATTAATGTCCTACTCCTAACAATAAACGATCTCATGATCAAAAATAAAACAATGCGGCCCCAAAAGTCGCAAAAAAACTTGATGAAAACATTTCACTTAAATGTTATATTAATGTGAAAGAGGATGTAATTCTGCAAGGATTTTTAAAATAAATGTGTTTGAAGCAGAATATTGATGAAAGAAAACGGAATTTAGGTATTGTGTTGTTGGCAGAAAACCTAATTTTTGTATTCTTTCATCAATATTCGGCTTCAAATACATTTATTTTGAGAATCCTTGCAGAATTCAGTGTTAGATGTCATCCTCTTTCACTTCATTGTATAATTGAAGTGAAATTTTGCCATCAAGTTTTTGGGGGCTCCCTTTAGAAAGGCTTTAAAATATTTTAAACCGGTATACCATTATAACTTCTTTATTTGCATACACATTCAGTTAAATGATTATTATGCAAACAGAAACTACATTTGGCTAGACCCCAATAACTGGTGCTATTAAAAGCCATTCATTTGACGTCTTATTTGCTATCCCAAATGTAAAGAAGTGAACATAATTCTATTTATTTAGTGAGATAGCACTGTCATAGCCCTGTTTGCAGATGTACAGATAAAAGCCTTGATAATGAAGCAAAGATAGGGGATTGGGAGAGGGTGTATCATCACTTTATTGGCCCAATGACACTTTGGGCTAGCAGTGCTTTTATTTACAAGGCATTTAATTTGAACTGATTTAACAATGAACACTTGTGAACTTTACAGAGAAGAAGACAAAGAAAATAAATAAATCACAGAAATAGAAACTTATTATTATAATTTGTATTAACAATTTAGTAACAAGAACATCACTAATATTTAGTTTGTTTGGCTCCACAAGAGCCGTGTAACTCCGTGTAACTCCAAACAGACAATTTGATGATGATGATGATGATGATCCACAGCACTTGTATGGCGCCATTTATGTGTTTCAAACATTCAAAGGCGCCTGCTCCTCCAATAGTCATGGACTAATGGACTACACATTTGCTTGAAAAGATGGGTTTTGAGGCCTGACTTAAACCTTTGTAGCTTGTCTGTGTCGCGGAGAATAATATTTTTCTCTAGATTTATAGAGCATAAATCTAAAATTGCCCATCATTACTACCTTTTAATGTGTGTTTGACAGGAGGGGGAGGGGGTCGGGGTAGGGGTGGGGCAGGGATGGCTGGGAATAATTTCCCTAGTGGACATGATTTCCTAGGGGAGAAAGGAGGGGAGGGGGAGCAATTATCATATGTGGAAGATACAGTACATACCAGAGAGTATTTGCCATAGATCCCTTTACAAGAGATGAAAGAAAGGGGGCCCTTGAAAAAGTGAAAGGCCTACGTGGTAAATGGCACTTTTAGTGAGAGCCTTATTATCCTGGGTATATTTGATCGTGTTGTATACTCAAAAGTTCAAGACCTTTTGTCGCTTGTTCCAATTCAAGTTCAATTTACATCAATTTGCTTCTTTCTTAAAACGGTGCAATATCGCTGGAAGTGACACCGACAGATGTCTAAGGTTTCCTTCTTTTATATGTTGCCTTCTGATAGCGTTGTACCACGGACCTATACGGTTGTACTGTGCTGTGTTATATGTCCGGGGAATAGTCTTGAAACACAGACCCTATGTATATGAGTTGATCACTACAGTGTGTATGCAGAAGTGCATGCAATAGCTGAGATAAAGTCTCTTTTATGTTTTCTTTTTGTTTTCTTTACACTTGTTCATCTTTTCTAGAAATGATTTTGCTTTGCTTTATGTCTGAGAGATAAATGAAAGAATGGAGAATGAGAGAGGAGGCAGTCAACTCAGAAGTAATAGTCTATGAATGCCAGACCCAAGTTAATAGAATAGAGTATTGTTTAGGAGGAGTTGACTTAATTGGATAACTTATGATTGCAGACCCAATTTATGTGAATAATTGCCATTTAAAATTATCTATTTTGAACACTGAATTGGGACTCATTCGATAGAATCCAGCAACCTACATGTACATTTATTTTCATGGATATACATGTAATTCAGTCAAACCTACTTCAGTGACCACCTGTCTACAAAGACCACATTTTGTGTTTCCCTTGAAAATGGTTTCTCATTGAAACATGTACTAAAGCAACCTGTCTACAAAGACCACATTTTGTGTTTCCCTTGAAGATGGTTCTCATTGAAACATGTACTAAAGCAACCTGTCTACAAAGACCACATTTTGTGTTTCCCTTGAAGATGGTTCTCATTGAAACAAGTACTAAAGCAACCTGTCTACAAAGACCACATTTTGTGTTTCCCTTGAAGATGGTTCTCATTGAAACATGTACTAAAGCAACCTGTCTACAAAGACCACATTTTGTGTTTCCCTTGAAGATGGTTCTCATTGAAACATGTAGGCTACTAAAGCAACCTGTCTACAAAGACCACTTTTTTGTTGTTCCCTTGGGCAGTTGCTATAGACAGGTTTGACTGTACCAACACTGCTGCACCCATGATACACTGTATTACATCTACAATGTACAGTATGTACTATCTACATTAAAATTCATATGGAGACAATCCTGTTAGTAGTTTACAGTACATCAGATCAGATCAGCTGCCCACACATAAGCTGGGTAGACTGTGCCTTGTTATGACGTGGTACACGGCTGTCTGTCTGTCTGTCGCTCTCTCTGAGTGACACACATGATGTACCTAATTTGTTTAGAGCCAGAAGGTTGTGAACTTGTCGTACAGTGTGCAAGGTCTATTGAATTAATGCCCTTCTAGCTTTCACCCATCAATGCCATCGCTATCCGAACAACATAGCAAAGTGTACTGGGGTAACATCTAATAACTACATGTGCTCCTAAACTCTGGAATAATCTCCCCGTCTCTGTCCGTGAATCCCCAACTCTTAACTTTTAAACGTAGACTTAAGACCTACAGTATCTATTCAACACAGAGTAATTGCCCATCATCATACCGTATTTATAATCACATGTCCTAGCTTCTTGTAATTTATTCATTATCTAATGTACATACTGTAATTATTGCATTTTCATTAATGTTACTTAATTATTGTATTTACATTTTCATTTTTCATTATCGTGTTATTGTTATACATTGTTACTTAAGTAATTCGTCTAAATTAAGCGCAATGTTCATTTCACGTTTCTTGTTTATCCTTATTACATATTTAGTTTAACCATACTTTTCATTTCATTTGTTTTGTAAAGCGCTAAGAAACAGTATCTGTATACCAGTGCTATATACTTACTATACGTATTATGTAAGTGGTTAGTATAGAGCCCTAACAACTCCAAAAGGAAATCTTCATTTGAGATGAATTTCCCTCTGAGGGAATCTATAATGATCCAAGTTTTTAAATCTTTTAATTGGCATCACACCGAAAAGTTCTAAATCTTATCACGTACCGTACATATTGGTCTTAAACACTATGTCAGAGTTTCATCCATGAAATTCCTTTCAGATGCAATTCGACGCCTGGCTGACAGAAGGGCGTTAGCGCGCCAGCGACTTGAAAACTACTTTTCAAATTATTCACATTTAAATATTTGTTTTATATTTAAACTACTTTCCGTCCCGAAAATTGGTTTACTACTTACATTTAATAGACTAATATAAATGTTATGGTAGAACACGGCCACAATTTTTTTCTCGGAAATAAATCAGTTTTATAAAATTTTGAGGCGATTTAGTGCTAACGCCCTTCTGCTTAGCACTTCATTTTTGGCCTGAAATTTGAGCTAACGCCCTTCTGCCAGTCAGGCGACAAATTCTTATCAGAAAAAAGTACAATTAACAGGATCCATTATTGAGAATTTGCAGACAAACAAAACAAATTAAACCATAACAAAAATTTAAAAAACAAATCTGCGTTTACAACGCTTAATACATCAATGATGTCTCTAAGCACTTTACATATTTATTATTATCCCCATTGATCGGATTCAGGCTTGTCCACACAAAATGTATGGACATTCTCCACTCCCTGGGGAGCATTCCAGCCAGGCATCATTTTACACACACTCATAATTCTGAGCAAACTACTTTAATGTTTATGATCAGCAGTTACAATAAATCATAGGTAATAGGGAAAACAATGCAGGGTATCTTATAGAAAATACATTTTACGAAGGAACAAAACTACAAAAAGTGGCAAGACATGATGACAAAGTGAAGAAAAAAAACCCACATGAATGTAGAAGATGAAGAAAAAAAGAGCATAAAAC